CAAAGACACTTTATTTCAAATGTAGCCTTGAATCTTCAGGCTCATGCAAGACTATTATGAAGAAGGAAACTGCAGACATAAAAAGCATTTCCGTGCCAAGTGACAACAATTAAGCAAGTCATAATGTCTTTGTTTACTGTACCTGCTTAAAATGCTGGTTTCTTTGTGTTTTCTACAGGGGTAAGAAGTGTCTCTACATGTAAACATCGTCTGAGAACCAGGCCTTCTTTTCTCAGAGGAGCTGCTGTAGTGTAACTTCAGCTCCATTGAACATCACCCTTCACTGGGTTTGAGGTATCTGATTGAGTCCATCCATGTGGAGCGCTATTGAATCAAAAGAGTAAACCTCAGGGACATGGTCCACCTCTCAAACATCTACCGGGCGGAAGCTTCGGAAAATGCACTTGCAACACATATAAAATGTAAGTGATTGTAATGATAATAGGCGCATATGAAGATTTAATTCAATCTAGTCAATTAAATATGATTCTAAATATAAATCTGTAGAATATAAAATTAAATAGACATTTTATTGCTTTGTCTGTTCCCAACCCTGTGGAGATGTTTCTGTCATTATTATATCGCTCCTGTTTGTCTGAGTTGGTTCAAATTAGTGGTAAAAAGGCAAATTCTCACTCAGAGGGAGATTGTCTCGTTTCAAAGAGCCAGCAGAGAGAGCTGCTGCGAGATGGACCGGTCAGCAACAATAACCGTGCACTCACCACTGCAGGAGACAACGCTGCACTACTGTAGCCCGCGCTGCACCTCTCAAGTGGTTAATTAAATGAGTCCAGGCATAGAGCTAGCGCACAACGCTTGGTTTACCATAAACAATGTGATTAAAGCGGCCGTCGGCCAGCCAGAATGTAGAGTTGAAAAAAAAAAATTCAGATCACCATGGAGATGTGTGAGAAAAAGAGGTCTGAATACAGACAGGGATGTCTTTTTTATTCATTATTTTCATAATGACTGTCATTATGCGCAGGCTCTGATTGAATTCCATTTTGTTAGTCAGGTTTGTGGCGAGCAGAATAATTATCACTTAAGCGATATTAAGAATCATGCTAAACATTTTCATGGTCAGAGCCTCCGCGTGTTCGGCAAGAGGTCTTTGATTATAAAAGAAAAGAAGAAAAAAAAGTGTTTTCAAGCTCACACTGATTAGAAAAAAGCACAATAAGATTGCAGACATCAAACAGACATTCATTTCATTATCATGGTCAGCCTTGGTAGTTTGGAGTGTGAATATACAATACATTTAATTTAAAAGCATTGCATTATTACTTTTAATCATAAACAAGATAACCACTCATTTGTTCTACATGCAAAATTCAGACATCAACTAGTACATAAAGTGATGATTACATCAAGTGTAATCATCAGAGGACTCATTCAGGTACAGCATGTGAAGTGTACGAATTGATTGAATGTGTGCAGCCATTCAAATGTATTTTTCTTTGCAAGATGGAGGATAAGGTGGACTGCAAAGAGTCTTGTCTCCATGTGAACATCCTCTCCTCTAAGTGAAGACTCCTCGAGGCTCTCACAAAGCTCCAGGGAGAATCTGTAGGAAACAGGTATTTGTGATCGTGCAGAAGGAGCATTAATAATGATATCCTTACACACCATGACACTCCATTTCATCATAAGACATGATGTTACACCATAATGAAGCTGAGGAAGTACTCTTGAACCAGACAGAAAACTTGTTTGCAATAAACTTATAACGACACGGTCTGTTCATCCTCCATAAGGAGCACTTTTATTTTGAACTTTACTTTTACAGAAGTATCTATAACAAAAGGGCTATTTCTTCCATCACTGAATGTACTACATATATATTTATGATCAACTTTTTTCAGCTATATTAAATATAACACTCATTTTTTAAAACCGGCTCTTGTTGCAAGATTCAGTAAAAATATTATATATGATAGTATAATATGTTCTGCTTCCATTCTGGTCTCTGTTATGTAGTTTTTACAAAGCACTTCCCCTTTAAAATCACAAATAAGTATAGTATTTGAATAATATTATTATGCATTTTATTTTTCTTAAAAGCCATAATACTACATTTGTTGGTCAATGAATGACTTTTTGGCTAACAATAGGAATATATATAATGATGCATTTGTGGTGTAATACCAATGCTGTTTGAATCTGACAAAGGTCAGATTCATAAAGATCCAATATTTTTTGTAAATAATGTTTTTTTGATAATATCAAAAGCAAACACATATTTAAAGGAAAAAATGTTTTTTTACAACACGAGAAATGTAACTCTTAGGTATTTTATTTAAAGATGGATCTAGTATGAGTTATTGGTTTCTTATCAGTACGAATCAACCCTGCCATTTGCTGCTGAGTGGATGTATACATGCACTCCCACACACAGGAGGAGTGTGCTTCTCCTCTCACACAGCAGCAGGCCTGCAGCCTACCAATGTGTTCAGTGAGGGGATTTGGCCGGGCTCTAATCAATCACTGACAGATTACCTCCAAAGCCACTTCCACAGCCATTAAAGCAGGACAAATGCAGAATTGCAACTGAACAAGTTGGAGTTTTTAAGCCAACACCAGGACTTCCTGGTTATTTGTCAAAGTCACTGCCGCTGAGCCGCATGAGTGGCTGCGCGAGTGTGAGGCGAGCCGGCGTGTGTGTGTGTGTGCGAGGGAGAATGAGGGAGAGAGCCAGAGACAGTAACAGAGTGAGTGAGTTATTGTTAGTGTGTGTGTCTTATGCTCTCAGGTGTGTGTGTGTGTGTACACACGCCGTCGGCTGCGTCGCTCTCAGCCCACTGGAGCTTACAGTAAATCACATTCCCTTTATTGCCAAATTTAGCAGCTTATGCTCAATAGGCTCTGCTCAAATCCACGCCGTGTCCCATCAGGGCGTTAGTCTGGGCTCATAAAAGTGGATTGGCAACACACACACACACACACACACACACACACACACACACACACACACACACACACACACACACTGTTGACCCTGAGAGAGAAGGGAGCCCATACCAACACAGGAGGCGGGATTGTGTTTGTAGGTGTGTGTCTTTGTGTGTGGATCCTTTTGTGCAATAAGGCTTGTGTGGGCGTTATTGCAGCATGTATGTGTGTGTGTGTGTTTCTCCATCCCCCTCCTATTCAATTAAGAGCTTAAGCTCATTAGTGGCAGACTTACATCATTACCTCTCCAATGGCTAATGAGTTAAAATCTATTTAGATTTATGTTGGAGTTAAATCTCCTCCACCACACGTCGCAAATCAGAAGATGTGTCATAAAATCCAATCTGAAAACGCCCCATGTAAGGTTTTCGATATCAACGTGTCCCTTTTATAGTAACACTGCATATTCACCACACTTGAATTATACCTTTGCCTCCCGAACGTTAATCAGAGAGCTCTGTAACTCATCTGCACACTGTACTACAAAGGCCTGTTTACCTCACTTTACCATTAAACACACTAATTTAAAGCTTTGTCTAATTACTAGCTAATAATTAGCTCTGTGTAACAAAAACACTTCTATTACACAGCGATTAGTTGAGTTTTCAATCAATTTTCATTACGCTGACAAAACCTTGATTGCATCGCAGGCTTGACAAATTTAATGAATTGATGGAATTGTAAAAAAGACAATTAATTATGGAGAATGGAGAGTGAAAGGTGGAGCTGTAGCTCTCAGTGATGGAGAGTTTGATAGTGTGCTGCAGCCGCTGCTCTAATAAACAGACTGAGGAAGGAAACAGTCCACTTACTAAATTCACCAGCAGTGGTATACGGATCATATTTCACTATAGGGACGTGTTCATGTGCGTTATTCACCCTCTACATTTGAGACTTTCCCTTCACATTCTTATTTACCACATTTCTCCAACCCTGTTTTTCCGGCTGCCCCTCTCTTAGTCAATTAGTCGACTAATTGGTTGTTATGATTTTGGTAGACTAACATTTATCTTAGTTTCCTCAATTATTCATTTTTCAATCATCTTTTTGTGACTTATATTAGAAAAAACGTCTGAGCACATCTCTGTTAATCAAAAATACTTTAAGTGTTGTTTTTTGTGGAGAAACTCACTTTCACGGAATCGACTATTCGCCAAAATATAACCGACAAGGGACATTTATTTAACCACATTAACAACTATTTTCATTACGTGCACTCTCAACTTGTGGGTAACAATGAGCTGATAGTTATTCCATCTTTGATGTCTTGTTTAAACCTGCTCTCCCTGCTGATGCTTTGATAACTGGCTAACTGGGACATTTTCATTCTAATTAGGGCTTCAATTGCTAATTCCATATTGCTGCTATAATTATCACGGGGAGAGTCGTGGGCTAGGGAGGGAGGCAGTCACATATCGGGCAGAGGGGGGGCGGGGTATTAGATTTGCCCCTATGTGCACTCTACCAAACTACGCCAGGGGGCTTCTGGGGTGCCTCAGGGCACTATTTAGGGCTCTTTATTTTTCAGTGTAAAATCTCAGTGTTTCTAAACCAGTTGCATTTGATGGTGTGCAACCAAAACAGCTTTCTAGGAATAAAATAGCTATTTAAAAAATATTAAACACGTATTACAAATGTCATTTCAAGTAGATGACAGATGCAACTTGTCTGCAAATGCTTCTAAAGTAAGTGTGCAGTAGAAAAACAGGCTGTCTCACCTTTAATCTTTTAAAACTGGGATTGAACTGCCTATAAAGTGCAGCACTCTCTCCTGTAGTGCTTCTCCTCTCTCTGCTGCCTCCTAAACTCTTCCCTGTTCCCTCTTCGCTTCATCTTCCTCACCATTTGGACTCCCTTTCACCACTCTGCCATACAAACTAGACGCCCATAATAACCTTATGGGCAGTAATTGGAATTGAGGATCTTTTTTTCTCTCTCTCTTTCTCCTTCTCTGCACGCATGCGCAGTGGGACGCGGACTGGTCAGTGTGAGAAGCAGCTGTTCGGGGCTGGTGAAATTCCAACATGGCAGTGGCTGTGGTCAGTGTTTCCTGCGTTAACTTGGAATGGTTTCAGCTCGCACGCACCCCGGCTTAACCTCGGCACCCCGATCATCAGCAGAACCGCTCCCCGGGATCGATGCGACCCTAACCCCGCACTTGAAAGGTCGACCTGTCGCTAAAAAAGCAGGTAAGGACGGATAGTCTGGGATCCGCTGCGTCTGCAATTAGACGGAGTGGTCAGAGCCGAGAGGCTGCAGTGCACCTTCTCATCGGAATCATGCATGTGCACTTTGTTATTTAACTACATAAGCGTGCATTTTAGTGCGTTTTTTTTTGTGTGAATTTTTAAGGAGCGCACCTGCGACACCGTTATACGCAAATGCGCAGCCCGCACTATAGATGCTTTATCGGCTGTGCGGCACTCTCTAAAAATGAAAAAAACATAAGTTGCACGCGCTGGGAGGATATTCCAGCCTCTCTGTGGTGCGGCTACAACAAGTTGCCCTATGCATGCGTGCAGGCAATGTCACCGCAGCATGCTTTTTGTAGAAATAGTGCACATTGTAGGGCGTTATCAACAGATTTAACTTGACTCCATCATATCCAAACAATCTGATGCTCCTCCACCCCCCTCCCTCTCTTTCTCTCTCTCTCTCTCTCTCTCTCTCTCTCTCTCTTTCTCTCTGACTCTCTCTCTGACTCTCTCTCTCTCTCTCGCTAAACCTGTCATCCCGGGCTCCACTTTCTAATGAGATGCATGTAGGTTAGACGCCTCTCGTATTGCTCGCTGCACTCCTTCAAGGGCCCACCTTTCACACGGTTTGCAATCCGAGCAGTGCTGCTGGACCAGAGAAAAAAAAGTGTCTGTCATGTTTTTTGCTTGAAGCAGAGGAGATTTTTTTGTAGTCTTTTTCTTCCACAAATTAATTCCAATGCTCTCATCTCCTCTCCCTCTGTTCCAGCACGAGATGATCAGCAGCAGCAGCGTCTATGGTAGGTACAACTTATTATATTCATATATTACAAGGTGTAGAAATGCACTGATGACTTTCAGCAGCCGGTGTGTTTACTGTTATTTATTTCACTCATCGTATTCTGTATATTCACAGCTTTACTTAGAATGGTGCAATATTTATTGTATTATAGGACACTACTCAAATTCTCATGTTTAGGTTTTATTATCCATCTTTATAGCACTCTAACATAACCCTTTGTCATTGCACACAGCACCGCCTGATATTTTAAATAATAACTGTGCATCTTTTAAATTATACATGGCTTCATTTGAAAACAAAACTATTTTTTTAATAAGTTGAAATATGTTCTAAAATATTGTTGTTGAACTTTTATTTAATAATCGTTTTTGCATATGAGTAAAATAGATATTAGGGAGCAGTTCTTTTTCAACACACTCCCATTTTCTTTTGATTTCACTGTACAAATATGGAAATTCATATTTGATGTGATTTGAGTAACAGCGAACAAGGCCTCATTCGTTGCAAAGTCATAATGCATATTTATAATGAGGATTTATTTATTAGTTGCACTTTTGTATACCTCTATTGCTGAATTCACCGGTATTTATTTACATTATGTCACGAGGGAATAATGCATTCTTGAAGGAGCGTTAATGACAAAATACACTCTACTTTGTGCATGCAGAAGTTCATTTCAATTTCAGATATTTAAAATAACGTAAGCTGTACAGGAGCGTTTTCGCAGAAATGATGCTCCACTCTCATGAAGAACAATGGTGGATTGTTAGAAATAGAAAATATCCATCCCACCCTGTTGCAAGAGAAAGCGGGCAGCGGATAGTTTTCTGTTGAATAATCACGTTCGAGACCACAATGTGCTTTCTGTTGAGCTTTCGCTTCTACGATTGCACATTCTTGGTTTTTGTAGCAGTTATTAGTGAGGACTCAACCTTTCACCTTTGATCCCTCTGCTCTCTCTCTCTCTCTCTCTCTCTCTCTCTCACACACATTCACCCTCACATCATGTGCTGTTTCTCTCCTGCTGATGTGTGTGTTACATGCGGCATGTGCACTCACTTCTTTTTTCATGTTTGTAGTTTTGTTTTTAAGAGCGTGTGGATCCATAATGTCACACTGTAATGAAAATATAAAATAATGCTTATATTTGTAGCTTAATGGTCTGAAGTGACATATCATACATAAACAGATATGTACTTATTTGCTTTTGACGCTTTTCCATTCAAATTCAGTCCTAATTCACTGACTTCTGAACGATTTGTCGATATCATTTCACAAAAGATATTCTGTACAAGGACACGCGAAAGAGTCTTATTCAATTGATGCTGTTTTTGAAAAAAATAAGAGATTTCTACAGTAGATGAAAAATATAAAGAGTGGTGGGGTGCATGAGTTTTGCAATGCAAGTGTGTATGTGTGTGCATATGTGTGTCAAACTTAATCTCTAATGAAAACATAGAAAATAACGTTTCATTTTCTCCCTTATTGATCTTAAATGCCCTATTTTACATATTCATGTTAGCCCTTTCACACGATTGCCACCTAAAAATATACATTTGTGCAGCTTTTCCATCTATTGATTTGTGGATATTTGGTCTCATTAGGAGTCTTATTCAATTGTTCTAGAATTCTAGATGAACATATGGGGAGTGATGGGATGCATGAGTTTTGAAATGCAAATGTGTGTGTGTGCATATTGACAAACTTAATCTATGATAAGAATATAGAAAAATATCGCTTCTATGTATACCTTAAATGACCTAATATACATATTACCTGTAGCTTTAGCATTGCATTTCAGTCTTATTTGACTGACTTTTGATTGATTTGTCGATAGGAGTTTGTGTGAGTGGGTGTGCATATTGTCAAACTTAAACCCTAATGAAAATGTAGAATATTAGTGCATCGATTTGTACCTAAATCCTCTTAAATACCATATTATATACGCACATTTTTGCAATTGACACATACATTTTCATATTTTTTGCAGCTTTATATTTCAATTAAGTTCTTATTGACTGTCTTTTGATAGATTTGTGTGTATGATTTTAGGAGAAATGTAAAGCGCATGCAAATAAGTATTTTGAAGAGGCAAATGGGAAGTGATGGTGTGTGTTCATATTGTCCTAACTTCCTTTAATGAAACACTAGAATAATAATGCTTGTATTTGTACTTTTATGATCCTAAATGACATCGTACATACGTACAGATATGCACTTGACACATACAATGACATATCATACAATTCTGCAGCTTTTCCATTTCAATTTGCTCCTAATTTAGTGACCTTTGATAGATTTGTGGCTATCAAGAACATGTAAAGAAGTCTCATTGTTTTGTTACAGAAGAGGATTCTAGATGAACATATGGGGTGTGTGTGTGTGTGTGTGTGTGTGTGTGTGTGTGTGTGTGTGTGTGTGTGTGTGTGTGTGTGTGTGTGTGTGTGTGTGTGTGTGTGTGTGTGTGTGTGTGTGTGTGTGTGTGTGTGTGTGTGTGTGTTTGGCAGGCGGCCAGGGGACGGACACAAAGGATGTTGAGTGGCTGGGCGTGTGGCACAGCATCACTGAGCTGCCTGTGGCCTCTGGGAGATGGACACAAACTGGTAACCAGAGCAAAAACAAACCGCTGTTGATACATCGCTGAAAAATTCTGCAGCGTTTATTGTCGGACTGCAACTAGCAATTATAGTCATTATTGACAAACCTGCCAATTCTGCTTGGTATGTGTGATGTTGAAAAGAAGTGTAAAAAATCCAAACTTCCTAAAGCCAAGGGGACGACTTTGAATGTCTCCTTTTGTCTACAAACACTATTAAAACCTAAATAAATTCACTTTAATATCACTATTCCTATACAAGACACGAACAACTGTTAATTCTCCAGCTGGAACCTTAACATTTTTGCATTTTTTAAAATCTATTTTTACCTAATAAAGGAGTAATCAATCCCTAAGAATAGTTGCTGATTATTTTCCTGTCAATCGTCTAATCGATTTTTACTGTGAATCAGAAGCTCAATAGTGTATTGGAATCCAGATGACTCCTTTGCGATGTCGTTGAATATCTTATTTCGTCCGCACGACAGTCCAAAGTGATTGATTTTACAATCATATAAAGCAAAGACAAATCTCCTCCTTACAAAAGCTTTGGAATCTTTTACTATTTGTTCTTGAAAAGCGACTTAAAATCTATTCATGCGCCAAGGCCTGCTGAGGAAGGAATGTGTTATACGCTCACCTGTGATCGTGTGTGTGTGTGCGGGCGCTGGGTGTGTGTGTGTGCCTGCGCTGGGTGTGTGTGTGTGCCTGCGCTGGGTGTGTGTGCGGGCCCAGTGGAAGCCGGAGAGAGAGCATTAGGATGTTGCTTGTACTTGTGCGTTGGCAGGATGGACACATGTGGTAGATAGCTAATGATAGCATGCAGCGTATAATGAGATCCTCTCTCCGTCTGTCTCCACTACCTGGCATCATGCATTAACCATACAAGAGGAAGAAGAGGCACGCATGGTATTGACTTTTGAGTGGGTGTCTGCTTGTCCGTTGTTGGTTTTGTTTAGCACTCAGAGGTCAGCATGGCTGCAAGCGCCGCACATTAATAACAAGTATATATGTTTTTTAGTTTTCTCGTCTCTCTTTTTTTTGTTTTTTTTTGTTGCAAGGCTCCTCATCTGCACCTCTTGCGCTCGGGTAAATGGTTTCTTAAATTGATTTTGGATGTGTTGCAATGTATACGCTTAACAAGCCAAATGGGTTCAGTTTGTGGGTTAGTTCAGAAGATTATTCTATTAATGTATTCCACACACTCGTAATCCGCAGTATGTTGCGTGAAGGAGGGAGGCGTTGGCACCGGTCCATCTTCGTGCCCAGTAACATATATTTATCCTCTTCACTACACAATCCTCTAGGCTGCTCAAATCCCCCAGGGGGTCCCAATGACATGCCTACTAATGTGTGCTTTGGAAACGGAGTGCTATTGTATCCCCTAAATCTCACAAAGCACTGTATGATTTGTCCATTGTCGTTAAATCGCTTTGCTTGTGCCAAGTACTTGCATCTCACAGAGGCTTAATGCTTTGAGGGTTTCAGGGACAGCTTCGAGTTCCTCTTTTGTTGATTTCGGGGAAAAGTGCCAAGACTGCTGCGCTGAATATTGTTTTGAGTATGGAGGAGGGAGGGGAAGAAGGGCCATTGCCAAGCGACTCCATTGAGCCTCGTGAATGGGCCATTCATATTTAGGAGAATCACCCAGATGCCATATTGTTGGCTCAACAACGCTAAATATTCTCCAACAAGGATGGGATTGTAACAGGTTTGTGAATTGTGGAAAAGGACGTTGGGAAATTGGGGAGAAAACACAGTTCAGCCTTCAGTCACTGTAAAGAGGCTGGACATGTGACAGTGTTGCTGGAAACGTTTTATTACTGTTCCTTTCCATGCAATAATAGAAGTATTTGTCCAAATGTCTTCAAAGTGTGGCCATTTTCCTTTTTCTTCACTCAAGCATCTGCGTTCGCCTTCTCAGAATTCATTTTTTAAAGTGAAATGTATCCAAAGGGAGTTCAATCTTATATTTCCTATTAATGTACATCCTTAAACAAGGTTTAAAAAAGATGTATCAATATTTATCTTTATATATTCCAACTTCAAAGGTAATGTATTATCTTTATACAACACATATATTTAATATGTGGCAATAAATGCTATTTTAACACACTTATATATATCGTCCGAACTACATTTGTGTGTGTTAGGGTTTGTGAAATATTTATTTATTGCTAATAAATGCTAATTATGGGCAGTTAAAGGAAAATGTAAGCTAGAATTTGACGCATTTCTTTTTAGAACGACTTTAACAGTGTCCAATATGAGTTTAAAGCCTATACCTGTCACTTCTTTAGAATATTCACGAGTTTTAAAACATGATAAAATGGCATTTGGAAACATTTAATGCCATTTAAGTAGTAACTTAACGCTACTGTCAGCCTTTAGAAGGTTACAGT